GAGAGAGAGAGAGAGAGAGAGAGAGAGAGAGAGAGAGAGAGAGAGAGAGAGAGAGAGAGACTCTGATTGTCAATATGCAGTTTGTTTCCTCTGGCCTGAGAACTGTTCCTTGGTTGCAAGGAAGATGTGTGGGTGGTCTGAAAGAGTGATGGTTAGTGCCTGATAGTGCCATGCTTCATTCTGGACAAGATGGAAGAGCATCACTGTTGTCACTCTCACACTTAGATATTGGATGTCTGCAGGGGAGTGTATGTTGCTGAATCCACTTTTTAAGCCTCCAGCCGGCTACAAGCCCGTTCTCAAGGAGGCAAAGATCTACATTCCGGTAAGTACTGGCAGGGAATCAAGGGTATATCTGGAGGTCCTGGGTTACCACTTTCTGTGTTCCAGATCCTCTTTATAACTCTTATGAGACAATACGCTGCGGTGGCATGACCTCATCTTTCAACGTGGGAGTGATGTGTGTGTTTGTGTGCGTTTGTATTCATTGGCTGTGTCTGCAATTTTTGTGAAAACAWTAGAGAAATTGGCCGTGCACTTGGGATTTTCTTTTGCTGCGTGTTTCTTGTGTCTCTCTTGCACTCTGTTGGGATGTAAGGAGGGGAATCACAAACTTAAGGATCTGGATGCAAGTGGGACATCTTGTTAAATTCTGAGGAGGATGCATTTTGTCCTTAGATAGTGGATAACATTGATCGTGTGCTTGGAATTTTGTCTTGCCTGTCCGACGCATGCAAATCTTGAGAATTGAACCTCCGGTGGCTGTCTCTTTTCTTTAAAATTGTAAGGGAATAACTGCTAAAATTAGTGTATTCATCTGAGTGGTGATCCGGGCCGCCCGGGTGACCGGCAGGGGCCCGCGGGAGGTACCTGGCGGCCTGGCCGGGCAGGGCACCCGGTTGGGGGACGGTCCCCTCCAGCGCACTCACCTGTTGGGGGATTTTGGACCGCCTGTGTGTGTGTGTGTGTGTGTGTGTGTGTGTGTGTGTGTGTTTGTGTGTTTGTGTGTGTGTGTGTGTGTGTGAGAGAGAGAGAGAGAGAGAGAGAGAGAGAGAGAGAGAGAGAGAGGTTCAAATCATACTTGCGGCGCATCTCATGCGCGGGGTGCGTGATGCGACGCATTAAAAAAGTAGAAAAATAAGAACATCCTAGTTGTGTCCAGCCTCTTTTCGGAAGGATCCCTACAGCATATTAGCTAGGACCCGACGTCATGCAGAGATAGACTTCAAACTTGTACTCCGTTAGGGTGGGCAGAGAATATATAGTCTGGATTCGAATTCAGGTCTGTGCATCTCGGTTATGGGTCACTATTTCTCTGTTTTCTCGCTTTTCTTTTCTTTTCTCGTTTTTCTTTTCTTAGGAATACGTGCAGTGGCCCTAAGGGCCTCTACTCACCAAATGCACAAAAGACAAAACATATGCTGGCGTAGTATTCCATGTTCTGCAGAAGATTCATTCTAATTTTGCACATTTCGTGAGTAGTGCAGCCAAGCCCTAAGAGTTAGGTGCAGAGACTAACAGGGCCTAGTTATGTGAGTAACCCATAACTGCTGAAACACAGACCTGAATTCGAATCTTGAGTATATATTCGGCCAGCTCGTGCTCTACGTCATATTCACTGCCTGCCTCGATTTTGGTGGGGGGGTCTGCGCTACATGGCTGCGAGGACCCTTCAGATAGCCTGCATGGGCCGTCTGAGCTGTGTTAAGGGGATTCGTTCTCTCTCTCTCTCTCTCGCGCGCGCGCGTGCGCACGCCCCCACTTGTATACACAAACCCCTTACAAAAGAAAAAGAAGAAAAAAGTGCATCTGTGCCACATCACAGACACCCCCACAAACCCAGCACCCCCC